CTCTTCCGATCTTAGTACTCATGTGTAATCTCTCCAAATGCGTACTCTTAAAAAAACTGCACTTGCTCATTTTTATCTTTTTAGCAAAATTAATATCTTATTAAAATAAGTGTTAGTATTAAATTGAAACTTGACAAACTCTTAGTTCAAACTCTAAGGAATAGCTTAAGCAGCTTTTAATGCTTACACTTGGATTCTTACGTAAAAGTTGTATGGAAAGAAAGTGCGTACTCTTGGGCGATCTTACTCTATCTTAAAGTGTACCTAAATAAGTTAACTGTTTCTATACAAGTTGTAGTAATTCTGAAAATTTCTGTCAAATTAAATCAAATTAAATCAAATTAAAAAATAAAAGCCAAGCTTTACTTTCATTTTCAAACATAATGCTTAGGACTACAAAATGCATAATATTAGTATATGCATAATATAAATGTACAATAATTATACAATACCAAATTACCTTTTTGAAAAAATGTAAATAAAATATGCTTATCAAGAGAAAATTTGTATCAAATTAAAAAATAAAATCAAAATGATACTATCTTCAGTTCTGATGTAATAATTAAACATAAGTGATGTGTAAAAAAATATATTATTTGTATAAAATATTTGACGTATTAAGAGAAATACACATGTACATTATGTGTGCTTTCCATTTAGCTACACAAGTTTTTCCATCTTTATTGTCACTGGATGTTGAACAAATAAGGCAGAATGATGCTTGTCGACTTGTGTCGTTAAATGAAAAGCACCTTAAGTCAAACGATTGTATTACTAGGGAATTATCAGGGATTTCAAAAAGCACTAAGCTAAACAGTAAGCTGTAAGAATTGACCAATCACAGTTGAATGTAAGAAGAATACTCGATGGCGATTGGTTAATTTTTACAACTCGATATACGACGTATTGTAGAACTGGTCTTATTTATTTCTTCAAATCACATTAGTAGATGTCGCGCTTGTTACGGTACAGTTACAGAGTCGTTACAGCGTAGAAAACAAATGTTTAAAAGAAAAGTGAGGATTATTCGATCAGTGAAGAATTAAAGATTATTGTACTACTTGTGGATTCCGAAAAAAGTTGGTATAGTTTTGAGTACATAAGCAAATATTATAAATAGGTACAATAGAACACACATGTCCGTAAATGTGATCAGCTCAAGAAAATTACTCATAACAGTAAATTTTGCTGCTAAAAAGAAAAAAAACATAATTAATACCCATCTCTATACGCTTCTACACGGGTGTGAGTCGCATTTGTACGAGTATAAACGGAAAAATATTCGATTATGCTTGAAAGAAAATTTTAGCGACAAAGTTATTACTTTAGGTTTAGCACTAATTGGAACATGTTGGGAGCATGTGTTTTGTACCGATTTGTGACCACAGCTTCAAAGCGAGAAAATGTATTCGCAGGTCACAAATTCCGTACGTTTGATATTTGATATACCGGTCACTAACCGCGACAGACGGGCGGTCACTAGCTAATAGGGTCAAATTGAAATCAGGCAGTCACTAATGCGTTCATTTACATAGTTTGCAATTTCTTTTTTTATATCTATTAGATTATGTTCAAAACTCAAATGAAATAAATTTTTTGATACAAAAATAATTAATCTTGTATTCGGTATAATTATTTTTTTATTCACTAATACATATGAAAATAATTTATTAGAAATTTAATGGCAGAATTTCTAAGCATACTATTGCAATCAACATCTGAAATTTCTTCATCTATTGCTGACTGTTCGGTAGCCTTCAGGAAGCAATGGTCATCCTCGCTTTT